GACTCCACTAATTGTTTACGAAGACGTTCATTTATGTATCCCCGAATTTTGTACAGTAATTTTAATCTATAAAAACAGTTCCGTACTATTTTCGCGACGTAGCTTTCGTAGCGGAGGTTTTGGTCTAGCTCTAACCCTAAGTTTCTAGCTTCATAAACACGCTCAACAATCTCTGTTCCTAACCTTACCCGACAGTCAGACGGTATACTATTCAATTGATACTTAGAACCGAAAATGATGTACTTTGTCTTGGCGGGATTCAGAACAAGACTGTTGTTTTTAGACCAATTTTGCAGCCTTACTAGGTCCTCATTAAGGGATCTTACAGCTGAGTCCAGTTCACTAGTTTTAAATGAGATGTATATTTGTAAATCGTCTGCGTATAAATGGTATTTGCAATTTTGTATGCAGTTTATAATATCAGCAGTATATAGAATAAATAGAATAGGAGAGAGGATAGTTCCCTGGGGGGTTCCTCTAGTAAGGGGACGATCGTCTGACCGCCTAGTCCGACCATCATCACGAACTACTTCGACACACTGACCACGACCTGTAAGGAAACTATCGAACCATCTCACCGTATTCGGCTCGAATCCGTAATACGACATCTTAGAGAGAAGAAGTGATATATCTATACAATTAAATGCCCGTGAGAAATCAAGAAGCACCAACAATGTGCACATTCCGTCGTCCTGAGCGGTGATAATGTTATCGGTGACGTCCAAAAGAGCGGTAGTTGTACTATGACCCTTTCTGAATCCGGATTGGAATTCAGGTAGCACATTGTTGGTTTCTAAGTACTCCACTAATTGGAGCCTGACAATTTTTTCAACAATTTTTGACATACAGGGTAAAACACTGATCGGGCGAAGATCTTTAAGTTCCTGGGGGTTAGATTTTTTAGGTAAAGGTCGGATTATAGCGGTCTTCCAGATTTCTGGGAAGGTAGATGTTGCTATTGAGCAGTTAACAATAGAGGTTATTGCAGTGAGCGAATGAGGCAACGTCATAAGCAACATATTAAGTGAAAAACCATCGATGCCTTCTGCATTCGACTTAAGGTTAGAAATAATTTTAGATACCATAAGCTCATTGACAGGCTGAAGAGAAAAACTTGTATTATTATTAAAGAGGTGTGTGTCAAAATAGCTCAAGGTTGACGGATCGACACTTGGGATACCAGGTATACTTAAGAAATGACTGTTTATTTGGTCAGGGTTTGCAAGGTGAGCGGGTAAGAAGGTATCTTGCTTTGGGGGCAAAACCGATGTCTTTAAATTGCGCCACAATATTTTTGGATTGGTCAAATTATTATTTATGTTAAAATTAAAAAATGCGCACTTTTCGCTATGAATAGCACGAACAACTAGGCTTCTTAATGTTTTGTAGTATGTTTTATGTGAATCTAGTTTTGTTTTCAGATAACGCTTGTTAGCTAAATTCCTAAGTCTCATCATAACTTTAATTGTATCAGTTATCCAAGGCGGGTTTGGCGCTTTTGACACTATGGTTTTAGTCGGGGCAAATATATCAAATAAATGTGTAACGTATGAATAAAAGAGATGTAATTTATGATCTATGTCTGGCGTGGAAATTATTTCGTTCCAATTAATTGATTCTAAAGACAAATTAAAAATTTCTAAGGGTATATCTTTAAGTGACCTATATTTTATTTTTATTTCGTGTAATTTATGTTTTTCACTGTGCAGTTCTAAAGTTAACAAAGCATGATTGCTTAGAGGTGCAACCGGTTCAACCTCAACACGGCATTTTTGTAAATCGGTACAAATAACATCTATTAAGGTTTGGCTGTGGTCAGTAAAATGGGTAGGGGACGTGACCAACTGCACTAGATTCAAGCAAGTTAGAAATGTATTGAACTTATTAATTTTCATATCATTAGATCGCAACATATCTATGTTAAAATCTCCGAGCAAGATAATATTGTCACAAAAAGCTAACGAGTTTATAGAACCCGTGACCGCGTCAAAAAATGAGTCTACATCAAGCCACGGCGGGCGGTATGCGGTGCCTATGGCAAGCATCTTATTATCTACTTTAAGCGTTAACCACATTTGCTCAACGAAAACGAGCGATGGGTCAACGGGGTGAGCAAACACACGGGCATTGATACCACGCTTCAAATAAAAGCCGACCCCCCCGCCTCGGCCGCCACGCACGGTGCGCGGGCGCGGCGCGTGCAACAGCCGGTAGCCGGCGGGGCGCGGGGCGCTCCTCTCCTCGCCCTCCCGTAGCCACGTCTCGCCCACCGCCATCACATCCATCGCATGGCGCTCAACAAGTGCAATAAAGTCGTCACAGTACGTGTTAAGTGAACTAACATTGAGAAAACCGATCCTCAAAAATGACTTAAGGCCGATCAATATACATTCTCAAAATCTGTCTACAACAATAACAATGAAACGAAAATATCATAAAAAATGCAATTACATTAGATTTTGATAAGGTTACAAACAAATTATAAATTGAAAAAGTATGGCAAAATACAACTTTAGGGTTACAAACATATTTACATAAATAATACTTCCAACATCCAAGTACAAAACAGCAGAAATCCCCACAGACAGCATTGCAACAAAAACACAAACAAACCCAACACAAAATCCAGACTACAAATATAATATAAACACTAAAAATTAAAAACAAATACAGTATGGCTCTAAACAAATTGCTTACACATACATTATTTGTTCGCATTATGTGATAAGTAAAATAATAGTTCACTGTTTTAAAACAGCAATAAAGAATATAACATGTTAATAACTTAAGAGATAGAATAATGTTGTCATAAAAGTAAACAAAGGTCGAACAACCAATAGGTGTGCAATGTTTGTCGCCATTCAGGTTGTTCAATAATATAGATATAAAATTACTATATAATATTACACTGTGATAAGTAAGAAAGTATGTAATACTTATCCTACGAGAATTAAAAATTTGAGACATTCTATAAGCGTAGATATAACAAAAAGCGACATGAAGCGACAAGCCTATGAGTATAACAAAAAGTACAATAAACAATAAACACAAAGCAATTAGGATTAAATATGCGGCACGCATGCTATTCAATGTTAGTAAATGGCAATTGGAAAAATAATTTAAATCGTTGTTTGGACATAATAAATACATCAGGAGCCTTATGTAAAGTAAGTATTGTAATATTAAGTTATAATATTTGTAATGAATGAGAGATAACAAAAAATGTATACAAAGTATGTTATTATAATGTATTATAACGTTGCGTGCGGCCGAACTAACTATTAAACAAAAATTTTATTTATGTCTCCTTCATTACGAATCCGTTCTACAGACTTACCATCATCCTTCCTTGTAAATATCTGCCCGCCTCTTGTCCACACGTACTTCCAATGTACGCGGGACGCGGCTTC